GGTGTGGCTGATTGAACAGAGTAATTACTGGATTCATTGTCACACAACGAGGAAAATCAAGCCTTAAAAGCGTCCATCTTGCCTTGGTTGGTTTTTTTAGGTGCTTGTTGAACCCTTATTGACCCTGTGCCATTCCATCTTGCGGCCATGTTGGGCCTATGCCAGGCTTATGCTGACGCTTTGTGGCATTTGTTGAAAGCCAATTGATCCCATGTCAGGCCATCTTCCCTCTATGTTGGCTCTATGCTGCGTTTATTTCATCTTCTAGGAAACAGATTCGGAAAAATTTGCCTATTCCAAGAACACAGAAAGTACACATTTCTGGACCAAACATGAGCTCAATTTCGTCCATGTCGTCCACTTTTCAGACGGTTGTTGAGCCCCATGTCAGGTCATCTTGCAGGTTTGTTGTGCCATTGTTGCGCGTATGTTGCTTTTTGTTGGCTTTTGACTTGCTGGCCCCAAGTACGTCCATGTCAGCTATGTTGGGCCTACATATCTTGGAATCATCTTGCAAGGGCCTGGTCCAGGCCTGGGTGCCTGCCTGTTCTTATGCCCGCCGGGCGTAAGCGCAGGCGGGGCTTTGGCAGCGCAGGTTTGGCAGGGTAAAGGCTGTTTTTTTCATCATTTTAGGCCCAAAACCTGTTCGATGAAGGGCCTGCCTGTTCTTATGCCCGGCGGGCATAAGCGCAGGCGGGTGAAAAGGAGACATTTCATCCACAGGGTTGTTTTGCCGTGGATTCCCATGAGAAAGGGAAATTTCATCCATGGAATGGAGCCAGTTTGCAATGAAATGGCCAATTTGAAATGAAATGGAGCCAGTCTGGGGTAACTGGGGGGTGTAAGCCAAGTACATAGACGACAGTCCATTTGGATGACTTAGTAAACCAGAGCTATGAAACATTATAAGTGGTATGACGTGTCCAGTGTTGCTTTCTTGCTTGGCTGTGACGAATTCAGAGCCAACAAATGCCCCACAGAATTACGACCGAGTTTGTGAGCGGAGTAGAAAAACTCGGCCGTATTTTTTTTTCCTTCTACAATGCCCGAGAAAGGATTCTAGGTGTATGTTGCAGACCATGGGGCCAGTTGACTATGGCCACTAACCAGATAACTCCTTTGTATCCATGTATGTTTGTAAATATGTCTGTCTGTCTGTCTGTATGTATGTATGTATGTATGTATGTGATGTGATGTAATGTTTTTCACACTAAGTCATATAATGTTATGTTATGTTACATCATGTATGTCTGTATGTATGTATGTATGTATGTATGTATGTATGTATGTATGTGCGTATCTGCGTATGTGTGTATGTGTGTATGTATGTATGTATGTATGTATGTATGTATGTATGTATGTATGTATGTATGTATGTATGTATGTATGTATGTATGTATGTATGTATGTATGTATGTATGTATGTATGTATGTATGTATGTATGTATGTATGTATGTATGTATGTATGTATGTATGTATGTATGTATGATAAATATATAGATAGAGAGATAGATAGATAGATAAATATATATATATATATAGATAGATGGATAGATAGATAGATAGATAGAGAGATAGAAGGATATAGATAGATAGATAGATAGATAAATAAATAAACAAATAGATGGATAGATAGATAGACAGATAGAAGCATCGATCGATATAGATAGATAGATCGATAGCTAAATAGATCGATAAAAAGATAGATAGATAGATAGATCGATAGGTAGATAGATAGATACATAGAAGGATAGATAGATAAATAGATACATAGATAGACAACTAAATAGATAGATACATGGATAGATAGATGGATAAGGAGGTAAGTACATAGTCAGAGAAAAAGAAAGAAAGAGATGCGGACCAGGGGGGAATCGAATGGGGGGGGGGGCCCCCCCCCCCTACGTCTCCGTTCGTGACTCTCGGCTCTCAATTTCCGGGAAAGGACCACCCACCTCCCCCAGTACTAAACTAGTACTAAAGTACATAGAACTCAGGTAGCCTAGGCTACCTTTCGTGATCATCTGTGGGTTGAAGTGAAGCCCTGCAAAGATCTTCTGAGCACGGAAGGTCTGTGATTCCAGAAGAGATATATCAGCAACAGCCGTTGGTTACTGCTTTCAACCCATCCTAAGATGGCCGCAAACTGAGGCCAGAACCAAAATTGGAGGCCCATTCTTGATTGCAATCCTCAGCGAAACTGCTGCTTCCCCAAAAACCCATCCGCGACGCCAAGTTGCAAAGTTCTATGCAATTCATCCCGCATGTTGATCAAGGTAAATCCCCATTAAAAAAACCATTCTCCCGCTATAAATCTCATTGGGCCTTTGACCTAGCCCCAAAACATGTATCTACATACATCTATATTATATATACATGCATAGTTGTATAGTATAATGCATACTTACACGTATGCTTCAAATAAATCATGTATAATATATTAGTATGTAAATACTTATACAATCTTATACATATTACATGTAATTATATATATACACAATGAAATACACACATATCGTATCAAGATACCATGCTGATTTCCCATTTTCAGAACTTCCAGGCTCCCCTTTGAAGCAGGCGCAGCGCCAAATACAGCTGAGCTGCCACCCATTTGGCTCCTGGTTCATCCTCGAAGCCTCATGAAAATTCGCGAGGGAACCCAAAGCTGGCCAATTTTGCGGATCACCCTAAGTGTTTTGTTTTTTGTTTTATCTGCAACTTTGGGAGCTTTGTAATTCCCTTGGTTCCACTACTGGAAAAAATCCTGGAGTCAAGGCAAGACAATTTCATAGACGTCCCGAACGAATGGTTTGTTAGTTGATACCCACCCAGAAACCATTGTATTCGCAATGTTTTTCCCCATTTCATGATGGTTTTACCATGTTAAATCCAGTCAAACCACCCATTTCTCATGCTTAAGCCCTGATTATTAGGTGGCCGGGATTAGTATGATGTTTTTATCTAGTCATCACTGTCATCACCCATTTTGATCATAAGACTACAGCCAGATGACTCTCAGACCCCCGGGCTTCCAGACTGCAGGATTCATACTTCAGGTTCAGCTTCGGGTGGTGATAATATAACTGGGCCGCGCTTCAGCTCCGTTGTGCTTACAAAATGCCACTCCACCAAGTGTTGGGACAGTACTTCACTAACAGAAGATGGGGAAGAAAGTCAGATTGGATCATCACCCCCAATAGATGGGGAAGTCATAAGAGATTGGGAATATGTGGAACCGAACATCAAATCGGAATTGAACTGTTTATCGGTTCTTTAATAGCCCATCCTGGGTGATCTGTGGCGGAGTCCACCTCCCCTGGTTGGTCTCTTTTGGAGGTAGATCTTGGCCACACTTCACGCAGGTACTTTGTCTTTAGACCATATAGAATTGGCCTTGTCACGTAAATATACGTAAATCACCTTCATATGCGAACTAGTGCCTGGTTTCTGTTCAAATGGAACAGCAAAAACATCTGAATTGTTCCAACATCCCACCCGAACCAGGGCAACCGCTGATTTTTTGGAGGGAACGAAGAAACAAGAAAAACATAGTGGATCGTGGCCTTCCGCACTGGCCCTTCAGGACTCCATATCATTGGGTTTCAACTAATATAGTATAGGGTTACTCACTAGTGGCAGAGTACGATATACAAACATGTAGTTCTGTTTGATTCCAAACATGACAAGTCCATATGGAATGTTTATGGCCTCAATTGTTCATACCCAAGACATCCCAAGACTATAGTGCCACCATGTGTCCAACATTGTCCAACTCCATCCAGTTTTTCAACGAATTATCTAAGCTGGGTTTGAAGAAATATGGAAATCTTTTGAATTACCAACTTAGCTTATCCAAACAATGCTTCAATCTTAGATAATCTTTGAAATATGGATAATTAATATTTCAATGAATTACCAAACCAACTTCCGCAATTTCTGCAGCAATTTCCAATCTGAGAATCTTTGAATCTCAGCCCCACGGGAAAAACTGGAACTCAAACTCGCCAACCCTCCATCTTGGTTCCCCAAGCATAGACGACGCCAATGATCAGGGTGAACTGGGACGACATGCGTCCCAGAAATCCAATGGCATTTCCCAACGCCTGGCGGCAAAACATCAGGGATTAGCTTCTGATTATTTACTGGAAAATCATCATTTTTATATAGTTTTATGATCTATAAATGGTTTCTTATCATCTGGTTATGGGGTTCTTTACCACCAGGGATTACCCTAAAAGGTTAGGCCCCCATCTGGTTATTATCTGGTATTTATATGGAACAATATGGAACATTACCATCTGGAAAATCCTCATTCAAAAATCTATCAATGGGTACTGTTCCACAGCTATCCATAGCTAACAAATTACCAGACGCCACGGCCAAGGGATGGGATTTCCCCAGAAAAGGTGACGAACCATCGTCTCTTGTTGCAACCATTTGGGACCCCAGAATAGTGGAATAAATGATGAATAACTGATGAATATAATATAAACATTAATATGGTCATATGATTTCATATGTATGCCCTGGAAACCAATTGCGATTAATGTCTTGGAGGTTTCGGCACATACCGTGGAGTTTTCCATCTTTTTGTTTATTGTAGTATTGGCTGAATATCATCTTACAGCAAAACATGGGCTGCAGATGTCACTGTTGGCCACTCTTCTCCAGAGCTGGCCAATTTCCCCTGTTTCCGAGATAAACACAGGCAACCCTAATTTTGACAGGGCAAGACATTCAATAATCTCATTGTTTCCGACATTTTGAGCGGGAAACATCATCATCATCATCATCATCATCATCATCATCATCATCATCATCATCATCATCATCATCATGGTCTTCGTCGTCCTCGTCATCGTCATCTTCATCATAATTATCATCTATATACCTATTGAGCTAGTTGCATCTGGGCCGTATGAAAGGTTTGCGGGCATATTTGTTGAGCGGGCAATGCCAGAACTCTTGTTGCTCTTCTACTGGCTGGTTGATGATTCAAATCAAACTGCAGTTTTTTCGCGCTACTGCCCCCGTTATCCCCTTTGAAATCATGGCAGTGGCTAGTGTAGATTGCATCCAATGAGATATAAGATGATGTGTACATATGATTGACATATGTGTATGTTAAATTGGTCACCTCAAATGTTGACATGGCTTAAACATGCTTAAACCTACTAGCCCCCAAAGTAGGCGTTTGAGAAGCTGTCTTGGATTGGTCTACTGGTTGTGTTCAAATTATGAACGAGATGCATAAGTCAAATCATGGATCTTATACAGGAGCTATTACGGCTAGGATAATCTACATAATCTATACACTCTGGCAATTTAACAGTTTGCTATTGAACATGACCATTTATAGTGGATTTACCCATTCAAAATGGTGGATCTTTCCATGGCTATGTTAGTCATAACCAGATGGTATATCATTTGCGGAAAGGCTTGCTCTTTCCGCATGGGGGAGTTGGTGGACCAATAGGTCAATTATAATATTTCACTAACCTGAATTAAGGCCCATAAAAGGGGATGATTTCCCTAAAATAAACCATGATTCCAGGGCTCGGGAGAACAGTGAGGTCGTTATAATTTACCCAGATAGATATATATATATATATATCTATCATTATATATATATATTTATATATATATATATATATTTATGTATATATCATATTCACCTCATGCCCTACATGCCCTACATGCCCTACATTTGCGCTCGGCCCTCTAGATCCTCAAGACAGGCCCTCCGCGTCACCTTTTTCATGGCTCCGCGGTGCGGCCTAGCAGAGCTGCGGAGCCAATGGGTTGATGTCCATCCATTGATCTACCCTCTGGTAATTTGTTACAGTCTGCTATTGAAAATGGCCCAGTTGAAATAGTGGATTTACCCATTGATAGCATGGTGGATCTTTCCATCGTTTTTTGTATGTTTACCAGAATCTATAGGCAATGAAAACCCAAGGGGTTTGACTGTGGCACTTACGGCAATATTTACAGCATGTTACAGTATTCAATGGATCGGTTGAAGAATTTGCAATCATGAAATTGGGGATATTCCTACCTGAAGATAGGGAATTCCTGTAGGTTTTCCCAACTACATAAAGGTATGGGTCGAATATCAATGGCTGAAGCGGTGAAATTGGGGATATTCCTTGAAACTTAAAAGACAGAAAAATGACATTTAGGAATTTAGGAAGATGGGTTTGTCTGAAAATAGTGTACCCCTACACTGGCCCTACACCCAATGGTTAATGATCATTATCCCTACTAAATGGCTATAATTGGGGCTATACACCATTTTCAGACATACCCATATCATGAATTATATACCTGAATAGTCTGTACAACTTTGTACCATATCTATCGTCATCGCCTCGAGCTGGACGAGCTGGAAGATGGCGCGATGGCCGTCATCGAGTCATCGAGCATAGAAAAACCGAAATTGCTATGGAATCTTAAACATCATACTTCATATATCTTCATATATCTAGCATGATAGTATATGATAGGATGTTATTCTGATATATTTCGATGTGATAGGAGTACACAAGTGAATGATGCCGGTCTTGAACACAAGGAACTTAAGTATACGGAAAGGGCTGCCATGCACAGCTTCGTAGACCAAGGATTATCTTGTGGTCCCAACATGATGACCTGCTCCAATCCAGCCGTATTTTTGATCACCAAGGCCTAGTCATCAAGTCGTCAAAGCCCTGAGAGTTAGCCAACAAAAACAAAATGGCCGCGATGAGCTGCCAATAAAACATGGCCTTGCACCCTGATTGTTGGCTTGATCTTTGTCAGCACCAACTTCGATAAAATGAGGGACAAAGTTAAGATGGCCGTTCTGAGCTGCAATGCACACTGGCCTTGCACCCTGATTGGTGGCTTGATCTTTGTCAGCACCAACTTCGAAAAAGTGAGGGACAAAGTTAAGATGGCCGTTCTGAGCTGCAATGCACACTGGACTTGCACCCTGATTGGTGGCTTGATCTTTGTCAGCGCCAACTTCGATAAGATGAGGGACAAAATTAAGATGGCCGTTCTGAGCCGCAGTGCGCACTGGCCTTGCACCCTGATTGGTGGCTTGATTTTTGTTTGCACCAACTTCTACCAAAAGACGGACGACACCAAGATGGCCGTTCTCAGCTGCGAATGCACAATGGCGTTGCACCTTAATTCTCGGCTTGATCTTTGCCAGCACCAGCTTCCACCAAATGACGAACAACATCCAGATGGCCGTTCCGAGCCGCAATGTGCGATGGTGTTGCACCCTGATTGTTGGCTTGATCTTTGTCAGCGCCCACTTCCACCAGATAACGGACAACATCAAGATGGCCATTCCGAGCTGCAATGAACAATGGCGTTGCACCCTGATTGTTGGCTTGATCTTTGTCAGCACCTGCCTCAAGCAACAGCAGCATGCTTTCAACATGTCCGTTCCCAGCAGCATAGAGCAATGGCGCATTGCCATTTTCATCTGCGACATTGGGATTAGAAGGGCTATTGAGGAACTTTTCCAGGGCGATCAAATCGTTGTCCATAGATGCAGAGATCACTTGTTGGTTTCGCTGGGCATCAGCTGGATAAAAATCCAAAACCACCATCTGAAGCTTCACTGGAGCGGAAGCAAAAACCTCATCATCCGGGATCTCAGAACCATGTTCGGAGAAGAGTCGTTGCCTGAATCTGGTAACACCAATCTGAACTGCCAAGGCTTGCTTCACAGTCTTTGCAGTTTTTCCTTCGAATTCATCCTGGGCAAGGGCCAGAGATGCACCTGACAGGAAACGCACCTCCATTGCAACACTGGCTGAAATGCAAACAACCTGTAGTTAGACATGTTCAAAACCGCAACATATTAATTGTAAGATAACTGAAGACAGTTCTGATGAAACAATATACCAACTACTCCATTCTTGCCATCAACGAACGCACCATCGACAAGAAACATTAATGGTACAGGCACCGTGCTTTCCCTGCAGCCAACTTCAATTAGACATGACGACTTTCTACCCAAATGATATGTGCAAAAAAGATAAGGGTCGTGAAGGCACGTAAAGTTGTGCAGGTACTTCTAGATTGCCATGCTCTAAACTGAATTATCTATATATATAATTATATATATATTTTGAAACATGGGGACCTGATTTTAAAAGCCCCTGATACCACAATTGCAAGGATGGCCATCCATTTTCGCAACCAGCTATATATTGATGTGAACAAGTCACGACGAATTGATGTTGTCAGAACCCTCTGAATTTTCTATCTGGGGGTCAAAAATGGTGTCCCCGGAGGATTTGCCACACATGGGGAAAATTCGTGAATCCCACATGGGTGCTGTGTTTTGTGCCGATGGTGACACGTCTAAGACAATGCGACTCGAAATATGTGGACGTCCCAAACAATCCATGCAGTGAGCCATGTGGGTGGAAAGGGCGCCTGACTAAAAAACCAAAAAAGAGGGGCGTCCAAACATAGGGGATATCCCTGAATGGCCAGTTTTTTTTGGAGGTGATGATCAAACATGAGATTTTGGACCACGCGATCTTGAGATGAAGCCGTCGTAGTCAAATTCCCTTCATCACTTCACCGAATGCTTGGACCAACTTTCTGCCTAGCAGATGTGATCCAAACAAAACTGTGGATTAGCACATGCCCAGATTATCTTCAACTTCGTTCCAATACACATGACATTGCTTCCTAACCAATGGATGTTCATCACCTAGTATCTTTTTATGGCACCTACCAGAAAAGGTACTCTCTCTTATCAGTTCTTTTCCAGAAATCCATGATAAACACCATGCAGGTCTCATCATTGTGAATGGAAATACTGCTGAAGGAACTTTTGGTGAATCTTCATCATCCATCATGATGTATCACGAATCGCCCAACCCCAAGCTGGTTTGTGACCATACGGAAAAAACAACACCTGCACATAGGAAGAAAAAACCCTCGATAGGTCGATTTTTGTTGGAAGCCTGGAATTTACATCATCTTAAAACATCTTAAAACATCTTAAAACCATCCTGGAAACACAACTTTCTCGGCATCCTGTGGGGGAACATCATAATAGTTCGCACCGATCACATGGGATGCCGCGACTGTTTTTTTGTTCACCGTTTGCGAACTTGAAAATGGTCATTTAGTTCGTTGATTTACCATGATTTACCCACCAAAAATATCCAAAAATGGTGATCTTCCAGAGCAACATGTTAGTTTACCAGAGGGTAAGCCTGATGAATGGGGGAAAATTCACAATGTCCATGGCATCCCCATCCCGTCAGGCCTCCGGTGTCGCTCACCCGCCCCAACTTTGCCCTTGACTGAAGCCAAAATCGTTATTCAAGTTGTTGCAGAACTCCTTGAAAAATGTGGCGATCGAAACTATTTTAAAGCCCGGGTTACCATCTGGTTATGACTAACATAGCCATGAAAAATCACCATTTGTAATAGGTAAACCATCTATTTCTATGGGTCATTTTCCATGGCTATGTTATATAACCAGAGGGTAGCACATGTTCCACAGGATTATGATATAGCAACCCCCCCAACAGCAAGACAGCAAGAGTTTTGTGGACCATCGCTGCTGATGAAATCAGGGAGCTACAATGAGCGCTCAATACTGGTACCAGTTTCAATGTTTGGAGTACCACATGTTCAAAGCCACAGATTAATACACATAAGTTTTTTATTTGGCTCATGTTGATGATATCCCATGAAACTATTCCTATTAAGATCTATTAAACAACCATTTTGGATGGTTAGATCACCACCATATCGATCCTAGGAGATACGGCCCTTGTCTCTTTTTGTGTCCCTATCTGTGAACAACCTCTATCTTCAGGAAGCAATGTGCTTCGGCTTGCCTTTTTAATCATCTGGTCAATGTCCAAGAAAGGCGACAAAAACTTTGAGAACTTTTCCAAGTAAAATGAGAACTTTTGGATATCCTCAACATCCACTAGTTCACTGGCCATCTCAGGAACCGAGAAAAATTGGAGGTACCTACCATAGAAAAAAGGCCTATTATCAATGGCCTATGTAAGGGAATATCCCCACAAAATATGGCCTAAAATATGGTACTAACGTACCTCCATCTGTTGGATCCTGAAGATCTCCCATTGACTAGTTGGGATGATCATGGATGATCTGCATCCGTTGTATTCCAAATTGCGACAACGCGACAACGACGAGATCAGGAAACGCGGCTACTTCAAGGCGACAACGACCGGGAGAACGCCAAAGCCAGATCATCATTGCAGGGTCCAGACTCATTTTTAATGTTTCCCCATGGTTCTGGGTACCCTCTGGTAATTTGTTACATAGCTATTGAAAACGGCCATAGAAATAGTGGATTTTCCCATTCAAAATGGTGATTTTCAATAGCTATGTTAAATTACCAGAGGGTAAATTATAATATTTCACTAACCTGAATCTTGTGGCCAGCTATGGGGATGATTTCCCTTATTAATAAACCATGATTCCAGGGCGAGGGAGAACAGTGAGGTCGTTATAATTTACCCAGATGGTTGTAATACATGGTAGCACTGGTAATACGCTATATCAACTGTATGCCAATATTCCGCTTATGGGTCTATGATGGTGTATGGTAGTTAGGTTACAGTCAAGAATATATCCCTTCACCGAAATACGTCCCAATAATATCCAATATCATCCGAATATGATTTAATGATCCAATAGATATCATGGTTAACGTTATAGGTTGCAGACCATGTTACCCAATTCATGTCCCGAAGTTCCATCATGGATCCTTCGGTAAACCAACATAGCTATTGAAAGTCCACAATTATTATATATGATTTACCGTCCATTGAATTATGGGAGGCGAATATCATCGTTACATCATGGTTACCCTCCGGTAATTTAACGTAGCTATTGAAAATGGCCATTTATAGTGGATTTACCCATTGAAAATGGTGATTTTCCATAGTTATGTTAGTTTACCAGAGGGTATATCATCGCTTTTAACCCACCATCCCAAAATTATGTCAAGTCCCCTTGGTACTACCAGCCACACCACCTGCCATGAGCCTTTCGCTTTTTTTGACAGCTACTGGAGCTAATCATGACACGGAAGATCCAGGGATGAACATCTCAGAGGGATAGTTCGATTCTATCGAACGAATATAAACAATGGCTGATGAATTCGATGTATCTTTTTACCAATATCAAAGATTAAACATACAAGATGTCTTGATCTCTTTTTTTTGAACTCAAGTTTATCTCGAGTTTTATTTCCTGTCAACTGGTGCTGAGGGAATTGAAAGACCTATCTCTTGTTCACTAATGGGCCTTAAATTCAATCCACGACGAGCCTTCAAGGCCATCAACATCCATCAACCATTTCACAGGGATCAGTGGATCAGCGGATCAGCCATTAGAATGTCATGGGATATCACCCAAGATATCTTTCAGGCAATGTGACGGGAAATAGTATTCATGGAATGTAAAGGGATATAATATCACAGAATTAACAGTCTATATATATATAGATATGTATGTGCAATATGATATACGGTATACACACTGTCATTTTTGCATTTCAACCGTTGATTTAAACGGATCACCTTCGAATTCAAACCCATCAAAACACACACAGGTACCCTCCGTTGAGTTTATTCACATTTATTGGTCCAACATCACAGCCTTCACCCAAGGATTTCCCCTACATCTTCCATGCCGTGCTCATGGCCCTTCAAGCCATTGGGCAGCGTTCCAAAGTCATTGGCCCGCCGGGCAAGCGGCAAACCGCCAGCCGATGGGAGAGCGCCAGATGCGAAACGCCAGCCACGACGTCGTGGCGTGGAAAGAATTGGAGTTTTGGTGCATGAAAGTCGCACTTAATTTATCTGTACGTTGATCTAAGTTTATCTAAGTTTATCTATATTGATGTTGGTTTCTTTGCTTCTACTATTGAATGCTATTGAGATCTATTGAGTATATTTGGTAGGGTCATGCGCCGAAGTCTTATCCGTGTATGAAATATCTGATGAGGTACATCCGATAGAATTGAACCCTGGAAGTCCTTCACAAGACCTCCAAGGGTCTTTCATTCCTCGTAGGTGTCACACGCGGCAGCCCAAGCAAGGTTCAGACAATTTTCGGCATCCCGTGGGATGTTGTAGTCTGCTTTTTGTACAAGTGCCACGGATTCATATTTCATAACTTAGTTTCAACTCAACTGAGCTTTCATCTTCTTTTTGGAGGGATCTAAGGGTTGGTTTTTTTAACCCGTCAGAGGCTATTTTGATTGGTGAAAGTACCTCTCATTCTTGCCCAAGTCAGAATGGGTGTGTCAAACTTGGGGGTACCCAAAATCCAGCGGCCCTTCGTCATTTCCCATTGGACAACTCCAGTAAATTACATTGGGGCCATACGCCGTTTCTCGGCAAATTCAAATGTTTTTTATGTTTTTTTTTGAACATGTGGGGTACCCTCAGTTCCATGATTCATCATCAGTTTCTGGATTTGAAGTACCATTCAATCATTCAGAGACATATACCCTCTGGTAATTTAACAGTTTGCTATGGAAAATCACCATGCTATTAATGGGAAAATCCACTATTTCTACTGGGCCATTTTCAAGTTCGCAAACTGTAACAAATGACCAGAGGGTATACCATACCCATCCATACCCACTTTTAGACACACCAAAAATTCGTTTTTGGATGTCTTCTCTACGAGCCATCGGGTTCCCGCTGCCGTGCATGACACCCGTGCAATCTCTGTCGTGCCTGTCGTTTTTGGGCTCAGCGGCCGGATTTGAGGGGTCCAACGCCTTGATTCCAGCGATTCATGACGCGACGCCGGGACCATCATCTACCACTCAGGAATACCCTCTGGAAACCCATAGGAACATGGAGGTTTTAATGGGAAAACCATAGGAAAACCATAGGAACATGGAGGGTTTTAATGGGAAAACCATAGGAAAACCATAGGAAAATGGATGTTTACCCTCTGGTAAACATGTAAAAAGCTATTGAACATTGCCATTTATAGTGGATTTACCCATTAAACATGATGATTTTCCAGAGCAAACTGTTAGTTTACCAGAGGGTAACCGAACAACAAGAAACTATGCAAGCGGCCAACACAGAAAGTTTCATCAACAAAAAAGGAGGCACAAAAAAACAAAACCAACTTCATCCTGGGGATATCTGGGGATGTGGTATCGTTTGCACATCTACAAGACTCTCTTGTACTTCATGGCTATCTCTGCTATCACACAATATCTCCTGCCCTATTTGTATCCCCAACGAAACAAAGTTTTGCTGGCTTTGCAATGATCATTGTCCAGAGCAAACTCTTAAACTACCAGAGCGTACGTAGTTCTAAGCCCCAAAAAGATAGAACAAGAAATCCCACTAAAATAGTGATGGTTTACTTCTTTTCCTATCCTTTTGGGGGTTGCTATATTTTCATCTTTCGTCATGACTTGTGCTTGTGCTGGTTGACGAGTTTCGCCAGTTTTGGGGTTTTCATCTCCCACTCCAGGCATCAACAGCCGGGCAGGCCATTGAAATGTTGACTTTGGCAACAATGAAAGGGCAATTCCCATCACACAAGGAGGTCTTAATGGGGAAAATATAGGGAAGCATGGGAGAATATTGGATACTTCCCCACAAATGGAGGTTTAATTAAACATGATTTGTTTGCCAGCAAACCATGGAGCTGTTTATCCGATGATTATCCACGCCACGCCTTGGCAAGACTGATATAAAGGCTTTACGATGGTGTTTTCTTTCAATGCGACACCCCACAACCACAAGTTAAAACCGTCACTATGATATGATATGTTATGATATGATTATGATATTATATTATTATGATAATGATAATGATAATGATATGCAGATGGTAAACGAATGGTGTTCATCATCATCATCATCATCATCATCATCATCATCATCATCACCATCACCATCACCATCATCACCATCATCACCATCATCGCCAGCATCACCAGCATCACAATTGATGCATCACATGTCCATCGCCATTCGTCCGTTTCAATCTCACCCCGCTACGGAAATGGGTGCGTAATAGTACGTAGCCGCATATATGTAAAGATCTGGGTAAAGTTGCCAGATATGGCCATACAATCATCAAATTTGGGAGCCATATAAACCATACCACCCAAATAAGCAGCCAGGGGAGCTACTTTGCACTCACCACACGATTCAAAACTAAACCATACAAAACTACAAAACCATCAACCATCAACTTAACCAACTATAAACCATCAACCATCAACTTGTGCTTGTAATAAAATTAATAAACCATCAAATTAACTCTT